TATTCAGTAGTTAGCTGTAACCTTACTACTTAGATGAGTGTGTATTTTATTATTTTTATGCTTTCTGATTGCCTCCAGATATGTGATCAGGAGATGGGCTTCTCTGTTCATTCTTCTTATTATTTGACTCAGAGTAACTGTTGCAGGTGTTGGCTGCCTTCCTGGTGTATGGCATCTGGTATTGCTTCTTGTCTGGATTGTGGGATTTTATAGGGTGTGATTGTAGCTTAACTACATGACAGCAATTTCTGTCTCTTCTTGGGTAATATAGGGAGAGAAAGAGACTCCTAAACGTAAAGAGGTGACCAAAAAAAAGCAACAGCAAAAGAAGACAGATGGGATGCTATAGTCTATAATCTCAGAAAAAAGAGAAGAAGGAAAAAATATATATCTGTAGCCAAATATAAGTATGATTTTAATGTCCTCTTTAGGCTTCTTGCCATCAAAACCACCTGAGACATTTCAAAATGTCACTGTTGCTTGCTATGACATAACTCAGGATTTAATTTTCAGCCTGTTTCCTTTTTAGTCTACCTTTTTAGCTCCACAACCCCTGTTCAGGCCTTTTTTCTAGTGACAAACAGTTCAGGGCTGGTTGTGGATGTTTTACTCTGCCATTTGGTTTTAAGTGGCAACTGCTCTTTTAAATTTTGAGGAGATCTGTGCACATGCATAGTAGAACCCTCCAGGGGTGGAGGTGGGGTTTCCATTCACTCAGGCTCCCCCTCTAGTCACCAGAATGGAGTTGCACAGACAGTGAGAGACCAATGGACAGATATTTAAAAAAAGAATTGCCACACTTTTATCTCCGTGGTTCTGTCAGGCATCCGTGGCTACTCTGATCCTTTCCCTGCTCAATCTCACCCAAGCCATTCCAGGAGCAGCTGAGTGACTTGGATTAGAAAGTACTGGATTTCTTGCTTCAGCTACAAATTCCACTGGCTGTAAGCCTTCCCACCTTCTAAATATTCCTTTATATGTGGTTCAGAGTTCTGGGACCATCCACTGAACCTGCTTGGTCCAGTATTCTGTGTTGTTGCTGACAGAGATCCTCACTGCACTTTTCCCCTACTCACCATCTTGTTTGTTCCACAACAACATTCTTATCAATGGAGAAAAGATTGAAGCTGTCAAAGACTTCATTTTTCTTGCATCAACCATCAACACTCAGTCATGAAATCAAAGACATATTGCATTAGGCAAATCTGCTACACAAGACCTTTTTAAAGTGTTGCAGAACAATGATGTCAATTTGAGAACTAAGGTGTGCCTGACAAAAGCCATGGCATTTTCAATAACCTCATATACATGTGAACGTTGGACAGTGAATAAGGAAGATCATAGAAGAATTGATGCATTTGAGTTACAGTGTTGGAGGAGAATATTGAAAGTGCCATGGGCTGCCAAAAGATCAATCAGATCTGTGTTGGAACAAGTACAGCCAGAATGCTCCTTGGAGGCCAGGATGGCCAAACTTCGTCTCTCATACTTTGGACATATTGTCAGGAGGGACCAGTCGCTAGAGAAGGATATCATATTTGGTAAGGTGGAGAGTCAGAGAAAAAGAGGAAGACCCCCAGCGAGAAGGATTGGTAAAGTGGCAGAATCAATGGGCTCAGGCGTGGCAACAATTGTGAGGTTGGCCCAGGACCGGGCAGTGTTTTGTTCTGTTGTGCATAGGGTCGCTATGAGTCAGTACCAACTTGATGGCATCTGACAACAACAAGTGCCGTTGAGTTTTTTCTGACTCATAGCCACCCTTTATAGGGTTTCTGAGGAGAGGCTAGTGAGTTTGAACCACCAACCTTGCAGTCCAGTGCTTATCCTGCAGCACTACACCAGTACTCATATGTTGTTGTTGTTGTTGTTGTTATGTTCTATTGAGTCAATTCCAACTTGAGGTGACCCTGTATAGTTTTCTGAGGAGCAGAGTTTGAACTGCTGACATTAAGGTCACAGTGCAGTGCTGATCCTACAGCACCACACCAGGGCCCATATAATTCTCCACAAATAATATTCCTCATTCTTAAAAACTGGTTGTGTGTCCTCTAATAATTACAGTAAATAGCATTATTAGTAATGGTATGTAGAAAACTGTTTTTTGTAAAAAAGCACTTTCAGTGGGACCCAGAAGCAGAAAGTGGAGCTTGAGAAGAATGGAAACTAAGCCAATGTACAGTAAATTATTGATGAAGAAAACTGGCACCCGGGCCATTGAAAGCCTTGCTCAGAGCAGGCTCACCTTGGGTCTGTTGTGTGGGTGTTTATGCAAGAGTTTAAATGAAGAAAGTAGATTGACCTGTACTCTTTCTGTTGCAGGAAACAGAGCCTGATTTCGACAACTGTGCTGTCTGCATTGAAGGGTACAAGCCTAACGATGTGGTCAGGATCTTACCCTGCCGGTAAGTCCTAAGGCTGCTGGTATAGACTGGTTGTTGTCTGGAGAGTGCCTGGTCACTCTCACTTTTCCAGACCTGCTCAGCACGGTTTGCCTAAACATTACCATGTTGAAATTGCAAAGAGCCAAAAATCTGTTTCTTTTCTTATAACATTTATCCTTGAGTATGTTTTGTCTCAAGAAACTGAAAATATGTCTCCGATCCCCTTTGCATCAAAGGAAACACACTGCTATGAACCAAAACATTATGGTACAGAATTAGAATATGTGCCTCCATGTAAGAGTTTTCTTTAACAACTAATCTCTGATATTCAGAGCTGTTTACAAGTGTAATTTCAATTAAAATAAATTCTTTAAAAAGTATTTTACAAATGATCATGAAGTACCGGTTAGTCATAATTTGGTCACAAGTGAGTAGTAAGCTAAAGGCAGATTCCATTCCCTTTTTATTTTTTACTAACCAGAAAAAATGTGGCAATCACCCCCAACAATTTTAGAATCTAACAGCATGTGTAGTTGGAAAAACTCCCTTGGTGATTCTCAGATCACCCTAAACCCTCTCGTAACTGAAATTCTCTGTTAGGGTCTCTGAATTACCTTTAACTTGCTAAAATTAAATAAATTGAAACATTTGAAGCTACATTAAAAATAGTTTTTCTATCATTGAAAAACCAATTTTAGTGTTTCTACTTTTGTACTGGTGTCTAAGAAGTAAAAATTAAATTGTGCTTTGAAGAAAGGCTTTCCACCCAGAGAAAAATTGGCCTTAAAAGGCCTTAGAATGTTTATAAGTAAATAAATTAGTGGGGAAAAATATACCACAAAGATGTGATGCAAACCATTTGTTCATAAAGCAAGGCACATTTAAGCATTGTTTATTAGAAATTAAAAAAATGCAAATGTGCCTTTTGAAGAATTGGCTGAATCTTAAATGACAAAGCACTGACATAGATAGATAGATAGATAGATAGATAGATAGATAGATAGATAGATAGATAAGAAAGACAGAACAGGGTGCCCAAATACATACAGAAACTTTCAAGGAGAATAAGCCATAGTTAAAATGGTCCTAGATAAATTGATCTCCAAGAAAATTTGATGTTGTTGTTAAGTGCTGTCAAGTTGGCGCCAACTCATAGCAAACCTATATCAGGTTTCTAAGGCTTTAAATCATTGCTTTATGGAAGCAGAAAGCCTCATCTTTCTCCAGCACAGAGGTTGGTAGGCTCAAATCACTGACTTACGGTTCTCAGTCCAGTGCTTATCCTATGGAACCACTAAGCTCACTAGGAAAATAAACCTTAGGAAATTGAACCCGAATGGCTCCATTCAGAGCCTTCAATGTGATGCACTCTCCCTTCATTCAGACTCTTGACCTCGAAGACAATATCGTAATTTGGGAGACATAAAACTTGGCAGTTTCCTTCACTATAAATACTCTTTCTAGACAGTACACTCAGTATATACTCAGTGACGTCCAGGAAAACTGTCAAAGAATAGCAGTGTGCATAGTCTATCTGGATGGCATCCTTCATATCTGCAATATCTTATTAAGGATTTTATAAAGCCTCATACTTTCAAGCAAAAATAGTGCTTTCCTTACTTTTTTATTTGGAGATTGGTTAGAGTCCCACTAATAAAAAATGTTGTTGTTGTTGTTGTTAAGTGCCATTGAGTCTGTTCCAACTTATAGTGACCCTATGTAGGGTTTCCAAGGAGCCGCTGGTGCGTTTGAACTGCCAGCCTTGTGGTTCAGACCAACCTTGTGGTGGTCTAGTGCTTATCCTATAGCTCCATACCAGGAAAATTAAATGCAACTTTTTCCAGAGGATCCAGAGACCTTTACAAATGAAATTAAGAAATCTGGTCTTTTAAACTATATACTTTATAATGCTATTAAGTATATATTTTAATAGGCCAGATTTCTTAATCTCATTTGTAAAGGTCTCTTCATAACATTATGGATTCCTGGTGTGGTGCTATGGGTTAATGCGCCAGACTGTAAAGCCGTTTGAACTACAAGGTAGTTCAGCAGTTCAAGCTCACCAGCTACTCCTTGGAAATTCTATACAGGGTCACTATGGGTTGGAATCGACTAGACAGCACTTAACTTACAGCATTATGTTTACTCTGAAGTTCATACAATATTAAACAATGTGCTCATTTAGTCTGTCTTGTATATTTTTCGTGTTATACTACATATTATAGTGTGCCCTGGTCGGGCACTGTAAGATAAGTGCTGGATTGTTAACTGTAAGGTCAGCAAGTCAAAACCACCAATCGTTCTCGAAAACATTATACAGGGTCACTGAACTGGAACCAACTAGACAACACACAACAATGACACATATTATTGCCAGAGGCTGCATAGTATTCTAGCCTAGATGAACCACAGGTTAATTTAATATGCCCCAATTTGAAGGAGGAGTCCTGGTGTGGCACTGTGGGTTAATGTGTCAGACTGCAAAGCCTTTTGAACTGCAAGGTCAGTGGTTCAAGCTCACTAGCTGCTCTTCGGAAACCCTATACAGGGTTGCTATGGGTCGGAACCGACTCGAAGGCACTTAACAACAACAATTTGAAGGAATCTCTGAATGGCGCAAATTGTTAAGCACTTGACTACTAATTGCAAAGGTTGGCAGTAGGAGCCCAGTGAGAGGTGCCTCAGGAGAAAGCCTGGGCGATTTGCTTCTGAAAGGTAAATCCTTAAGGAGCAGTGCTATTCTGCACTCATGGGCTCATCAAGAATCAGAACTGACTTGATGGCCATGACTTTGGTTTAGGTTTGGCCTCTATTTTGGAATATTTGGCTGTGTTCCATTTTTTTTCATTAAGGCAAATTGCACTGATATTACAGTATTTAGATTTTTATAATATTTCATTCCTAATCTCCTTTCACAATATAAACTTTAAAATATTAACCAAGAAAAAAAAATAGCATATATTTATCAAGAAAATAAATTTTTTTAGGAACTTAAATTTATATTAACCCTTGCCCTAGAGCAATTTACTTTGACTTCTGATGACTTTTTTTTTTACCAGATTATTCTGTTTCTCATCCCAGTCCTTGGTTCTTTTTGCTTCAAGTCCCTGCTGTTCATCCTCCTTTTGTTCCCTGAATGGAGACCCTGTTTGTAATAACAAAATACATACAGCACAGTGATGAAGTACTGGTTACATTACTGTGTGACCTTATACTAGCCACACATGTCTACTTGTTGAATAGCTCATCTGTTTTGGTTTTTTTTCCTATGATGATTTTAAAACCAGGATATTTTTATGCCTGTTGCTGGTTTCTGCCAGACAGTTTCACTAATGGATATTATCAAACAAACACACTGGCATTTGCTTTTTGCTAGATAATTTCCTCTAGGGTATTATTAAACCTTTGGTCCTTGAACTTCATAGACTCACTTCCCCTTTATTCCTAGGCTGACTCATCCCCTGATTTCTTTGCATCTCCTTGGAGTAAAATTGCTTTTAAAAAAAACCTCCAGTTTATCGTCTTCCTTCTTTCATACACTTTTCTGTTGGTCTCATAACTCCTGATTTATTTGGTTTATCTCGTCCTATTGCTGCCACTTAAGATGTCCATCCAAACCACACAGGTGTACACTTGTATATTAACTTGTTCAACATCACCCTATTCTTTGTCTTGTTTCGAGACCCTTACACTAATGATGATGAATTTGTAAAGGCGTTCACCTCTTCATTTAGAATCATGGTGATTATTGAAGTTAAGTCGTACCAGCTCTTCCCCCTTATTCTCCCTTCCTCCAGGTACTCCCTAGCACATGAAGGTAAGACCTCCCTATGTGGTGTCAGGAATGTAATTTGAGGAAAAGAACCACAGCCGCACTATCATCAAGATCATGTTGTTGTTAAGTGCCATCGAGTTGGTTCCGACCCATAGCGATCCTGTATAGGGTTTCCAAGGAGCAACTGGTGAGCTTGAACCACTGACCTGGCAGTTCAAATGGCTTTGCAATCTGGTACATTACCCCACAGTGCCACACCAGGACTCCATCATCAAGATCATAGAGGTCTAATTTTCCTTTCTTAGAGTTCATCTTAATACATAACTAAGATATTTTCCAAGGAATTAGGAGTTTGCTGGGTAAAGCATTGGACCACAAGGTTGGTTTGAACCACACGGTCAGAAGGTCAAATCAATCTGCTGCTCCTTGGAAACCTTATACAGGGGCACTATGAGTCAGAAGTGACTCATGGTACTTACCAACAAAATACTTGTGCTATATATGTGCTATAGGTGCTATGAGTTGGAATCAACTCAGTGACACTTAACCACATATTTAGGGTTGGTATTGGTGCTAATAGGAGCACCGGTGGCATGGTGGTTAAGTACTCTACCACTAATTAAAAGATTGGTAGTTCAAACCTTCCAGCTGCTTCTCAGGAGAAAGATACAGCTATCTGCTTCCAAAGAGACTATGGTTTTTGTTAGGTACCATTGAGTCATTTCCAACTCATAGCAATCTTATGTACAACATAACAAAACACACCTAATCCTGCGTCATCCTCACAGTTACTACCTTTGGGTTGCCATTGTGACAATCTATGTCATTGGGGATCATCCTCTTTTTCACTGGCCCTCCACTTTACCAAGCATAATGTCTTCTACAGAGACTGATCCCTCCTGATAACATGTCCAAAGTATGAGAGACTAAATTTTGACATCCCGGTTTCTAAGGAGCATTCTGGTTGCATTTCTTCCAACACAGATTTGTTTGTTCTTCTGGAAATCCAAGGTACTTTTAATGTTCTTCTTCAACACCATCATTCAAACGAATATATTCTTCTGTGGTCTGACTTCTTCATTGTCCAATCTTCACATGCATATGAGGCAATTGTCAATACCATGGCTAGGTTCAAATAGACCTTTGTCTTCAAACTAATGTCTTTGCTCTTTCATTCTTTACAGAGGTCTTTTTCAGCAGATTTTCCCAATGCAACACGCCATTTTACTTCTTAACAGCTGCTTCT